AATGAAAGAAATAAGAATAAATCTTAGTCATTGGATCGGATTGATTCAACAACTAAAAAAACCCAAAATTTTAAACACATTAAGGACAGTGTGGTAATTTTACTATTAACATGTGGGGCCCGCCCAATACAAACTCACCCTACCCAATTTTCTGAACCAACTCACATGTGGGACCACCCAGCACCCTCTCTCACACATTGGACACACTCTCACCGTCCATCATGCTCTCTCTCACACAATTACACACACTAGTGCACACATACACATAGTCGCCGACTAGTTTCCGTCTGCAGGCTCGATCGCCACCGCCGCCGTCCAATAGTCCTACCTTCGTCCGCCGCCGCCCTCAAGTCCTATGTCACCGAGTGATGCCGGAAAACAGTCCTCCCCACCATATTCCCATGCGCCTGGCCATTCTCCGGCTAGCCGCCCTACAGCGCCAAGCCGCAGCACCGACGCCCAGCTCATCTCCGGCCATCCAAATGGCAACGTTGCTCCACTCGCCGCCGTCCGATCCTTACCTGGTCTCATAGATGAAAGACGCAGCCGTCAGCATCACCGGCGGCCACCCGCTGCTTCTCCCTTCTCGGCAAGGCCCGGTCAACGTGGAGCTGCGATTATGGATTGAAGATCGCTGAATAACAAGATAACGTGCCGGTGACCATCCTCATCTTCCCCGATGCCATCGTCGTCGGTCCCGACGCTGTCTTCCGCTGTCGTCTTCATCCACCGTCTTCTGCCGTCGTCTTCCTCCGCCGTCGTCCGTCGATGGCATAGATGACGGGAAAGTAAATAAAACTTCTCTGAAGTCCAAAAACCGCAGGTGTACATAAATCATAAATTGGAGTAGGGGCTTTTTTTTGTAAATTAAATAATCTCAAAGGACTTGTTTGCAATATGTAAAATTTCAACTACACTATGTTTTAAAATACTAGAATTCAATAAATGTGTTGGGTTGGTGGGTTTCTAAGACTTAAATATAGCTTCTATAGGGATCTAATTTAATATATCATATGTAATGATATTTATATAATATAGTTGTATATATATATTATTTATTTTGATAAGCAATAAAATAAAATATTCAATTAAAAATATAAATATTAAATATATTTTTATTATATAAATAATTTGATAATCGCAAAATATGTTAATTGAAATAAACATTATTAAAATTTTTTAAAACTGAAATGTACATTAGTTTTAGGCTTCAATTGGGTTAGGAAAAAAATTCAGTCCATTCACACTGCTCATTATCGATGAAAGCCGTGCACAGTAGTGTTTTACAAATTGCACATTAATGATTGACATGTTGCACTTTTGTGCCATGAGATTGCACTTTATCGTAACAAATGTACAAATCGAAATATATTTTTTTTGGTTCAAGATCTTTATATGTCGACACGATTATTTAGCGTAACAAATATAGTGACTGTCGGGATGCACACTATAGGCCGAACTAAACAAAACTAAAATTTTCAATTTAAGGTTTTTATATGTTGGTCTGATTATTCGCTTTTACTTAAATTTTAGTTATATCGGTTCGATGTCATGTCGGCTTTATTTTTAATTTATGTATATATTTATATTATATTTTCAACTAAGAATGGTATAATATTAAATAAAAAATTATAAATACCAAATATATTATTATAGAAAACAGCTGCACTGAGTGCACATTACTGTTAAACGGATTGCATATTAATGATTATCATATTGCACTATATCGGCCCAACTATATAAACAAACACTATTTTGTTATGTATATACTTTAGGTATTTACAGCAAAAAATAATATAAAATGTTAAAGAAATATATTAAAAATACTAAATATATTTTTAATATATTTATCTGGGATAAAACAACAATACGCATAATTTATCCGGGATCGTATAAATTAGTGCACTTTATAGAATAACGTGTTGCACTTTATAAAACAATATGTTGCACTTATAAAACAGCAATCTACATTTTATCATCACACTTCGCAATTAACGTTAATAGTTCCCGTCAAAATACCACACAACATAAATCTAAAAAATGAATCTATATAATATTTTAACACCCATCACATCATTTGTCCACATAAAATGCAAACATGCTAACGTATCAAATTTACAGTATTGCACTTTATATATTCAACACGTTGCACTTTATAAAACAATACGTTGCACTTCATAAAATAAACTTGCACTTTATTATGTTCATTTTCAATCTGATTGGAACAAAATTTTGGTTGGTTCAATATGCACAATACATGCTGACACAGTGCACCATATTGTTGGACGAATTGCACCTTAATAACTGTTAGATTGCACAGTATATTTTGTTTACTATATATTAATATGTTTAATAAAATAATAATATAAAATATTAAATACTAATCATGTTTTATATAATAAATAATATAATTTATGTCGACTATTTTGATTATTTTTGTTAACCGACAAATTAAACACATTATGTATAAATTTTTAATTCAAAATTTTAAATTTCATTTGGATTAGTTGTTTTTACCTTTATTTTTGTTTATTAATATTATTATTTTTTTTTATCAGTTTGAAATTTTAAATTTCATTTTGGATTAGTTGCTTTTACCTTTAAACCACATATCTATGCACAGCATTGTTCACACTTTCCAAAAAAAGCCCTAAGAATAATACATGTATTAAATATTCAGAAATTGCAAAATGGGCCTGAGGAACATCTAATTTTCATGTGAAAAGCCCCAAAATCAATTAACCCCTCCACCACACCAAACCGCTTGTCTTCTCCGCCAAAATTCTCTGCGTCTGACATCAGAGTTCTCGGCGGCCACCATGTTGTAATATGATGGAGCCTTTCGCCGCCGGACGCTGTGGCGAGATTAGTGACGGAGTCAAAGCCGAACTTCACAAACAGTGGATCTGCAGAGCTCGTTTTACGGCGGCTCCTCGGTGGACGCCTCAAGACTTCTGAGTCCATATCGACGGCGTCGGCTGATAGAAGACGGATTCCGCAACCCCAGACGGTGTCCATCCCGACGGCATCCACCATAGACCTGGTGATGAAGCGACTGTAACGGCGGGGCTTCGGTGGAGCTGGCGTAAAAAATGACTGCTCGGCAGAGCTCGCGTCGGCGGTGGGTTGGTGGCTGGTTGACGGTCGCCGTATGGGATGGGTTTTGGCTGTGGTGCGTGTGTGTATTCCAATTGTATAGATTTCTGGGTGTAATTTTTGGTGCCGGGTGTGACGACGGCGATGGGATGTGGTAGGGAGGTGGTCACAGTGGCCAGTGAAAAACCGGTTGCCGGAATGTGTGATGTGTGTGTGCGTCGGCGAGTGTAACAAAGAGAAATTGAGAGAGACATTGAGAGATGGTGTGGTGGTCCCCATGAGAGAAATTGGGTTGTTTGTTGGTGAAGTGTAATTACACCACTACCCTCAAAGTTTACCAACATACCAAAATTTAATACATAATTACAAAACTGCAATCGCGTGGTCAATGCTGGTCAGCTTTGGTCACCTTTATCTCACTAATTAATTTGGACGATCCGACGGTATATAATCATTCTCATTTCTTTCATTATGTCCTATTCTCATATGATCCCATCTCTCTCTCTCTCTCTCTCTCTATATATATATATATATATATATATATATATATATTTATCGGAATGATAAGAATCTCATATATTAATAACAGAAACGAGACCAGAGAACAGCTACTCTGCCGAATTGAACTAGGAGTTAGTTAACATATTATAAATTATATATCAATTAAGTTAAAAAAATTTAAGGTTAAAAAAATAATATTTTAACTTTAATATGTAAATTAAATTGCCTACGTATTCCTTGTTTTATCATTTAAAGTTCTCGTAGTTCTCTTACTTTATTTACGTTGATGAAAGAAGATGACATGATGCATTGAACGCCAGTGATCGTATGTCTCGTAGTCGTCTTCGGTTTGGGAGTTCCACTAGTACCAGTAAAATCGGACGCCTCTTCTTCGTCATTCTCTTTGATAGTTAGCATGGTCATTTGTACCCTTCGTTCAACCTTCTTTCAATCATCTAGCAACATTTGAGTCTCCAAGTTTTATGGTGTCAACCTAGTTCGTCGTGCATTCAGTGTATATCCTCCTTCACTAAATGCTTGTTCAACCGCCACTATTTTAAGGCCGGGACAACAAAAATCTCATTGGCTATCAAGCACGGTGTTGATGACTGACTTGGCTTCATGAGGTTAGAGCTAAAGACTAATCGCTTCGTTTGATTAATAGTCTCTTAGAAATAGCTAAACTTAGCTCAAGTCGGTACCAGTTAAATACGTTGATTACCGACTTCCAGTTGACTGAAAGTAGAACCGACAACTTATCAGAAGCCGACAACCGACTTCACCGACATTGAGGTTATGTCCATTAAAAATTATCCATCCATCCAACATCCGAGGAGATTGAATTTCCAAACAAGAGGTGCTGTACATATTCGATTGGACCATCAAAACAAAAAGCAATCATTGATGTTTCCTCATTCCACTACACACCGTTTTATTGAAGCTGCTCAACATTAAATGCGATATTATCTACCTCGGACAAAAAGACAAAAGTGACCGTACTATAAATAGCAGAATTTATAGTTGTACGAGGGATTTTCTTTCGCACATTGTACATGAACTTGAAATGATCTCGGTCAAGAACAAAAAACTGACTTCCTGTACTCTTGTGATATCGTAAATAAAAAACAATTATCTTCTTATTTCTGTTTAAACACACCCAGCTGTTTATAATTTTAAGTTGTTAATGACATACAACAACAGTTTGGCGCTAGAAGGAGGGTGTCACGGCCTCATACAAAATTTGAGTATAACTTTTTGACCCGCCATATACGTGTGTAAACAATACCTTCACACACGTATTATCACTATGTCAAATTCTGGGCGACAAGAATGAAATCTAGATGCTGGAACCAGGCGTCATCCTGCTCATACAACTGACAATACAACTGTGCCATCTATGACGACAGATTACTCTATTCTATTCCAAGATCCAGAATTTCTCAGAAATCTATCTAATTTCATGGCACAACAAGAGCAGGACCAACTCTGACGGTTCCTAGTCAGCTCATGCTTCAAATCCTCAAACCAGGCAATTAACGCCGCCTGTTCAACAACAAAATAATGTTCCTGCTGCATCTCATGCAACTTCTCAACCACGAACGCCTGAGTCGCAACATAATATTTGCCGCTCATAATCATGGTGTAAAGTCACTCTGGGCGTTCGACTAGAAATTACTGCTGAAAGTCACTCTGGGCGTCGCCAACAACAACCGGTGCCTTTGTCACCGGCAACTTCACAACACGTTCGACAGTCTGACTTACGTCATACAACTGAACGAAATCGGTTCCGACGTGAGAACGATGAATTACGTCATACTATCGAAAGGAACCGTTTAAGGCGAGAGTCAGAAGAGTTGGAAATGTTAAGGAAGAGAATTGCTGAGTTAGAAACTCGACAAGACATTCCTGAGGAATCCCAACAAAGGGCTCCTATCTCGGAGAATGTCTATCTGGAAGCCGAAACTCCCTTGGCTCCTCATTTGACAATGGAACCACTTCCCTCTAAAGTTAAGGTCCCTCAGATCGGTCTTTACGATGGTACTTAAGACCCAGACGCACACCTCGGTCAATATACCTCGTGGATGGACCTTCATGGGGCAACCGACGCACTCAGATGTCGGATGTTTTCGTTAACCTTGGGACCTCGCGCTTAAAGATGGTACCACTCATTACCTCGGTGTTCAATTTCTAAGTGGCAACAATTGGGAACGGCTTTCCGATCTCATTTCATCAAGGCTCGGGTATCTTTAATTCCAAAGGAGTCCATTGCCAATATCGTACAAAAGGATAACGAGAGCGTTAAAGACTATATTACTCGGTTTAATGAACGAGTACAAAATATGGAGCAATGCCATCCCGAAACGCTGCTGATCACGACGATAGCTGGATTAAAGCCAAATTCCTTGTTTCGCTGGAGTATTTATCATAATAAACCGACTTCATTTCAAGATTTTTTGGCTCGAGCTCAGCAACATATCATAGCCGAAGAATCGATGTCGGTTCCTATTCTCGACTTCTCTCCTAACAAGTCGGAAGTAGAACAAGAATCAAAAAAGAAGAAAAACAAGTCTTTCAAACCGAACCGATCTCGGTTCGGGAATTCTAAAAATCCCGAGGTGAAAGAAGCAAGAATTAAATATCTTAATGAAGTCAAATCCAGTTATCAGACGGTCTTCTCAGCTGGAGCCGCAACTATATTTGAAGAATTAAATGGAAAAGGGATCCTTCCCGACCCCCGACCTGTGAGGACTCCAGAAGAAAAATTTGACAAGGCAAAATACTGTTCATATCACAAGTCGGCGGGACATGACAATGATGAATGTCTGGGCTTACTCTCTGCCTTATTACGGCTTACTGGACATCCACAAGTCCAAAAGATTTGCCAAGAATGCCGATTATAAGCGAAAAGGTAGATTGTTAGAACCCCCAGATGATGATGAAGACGATGATCGTCCTGTTAATCCGAAGCGTATTAGACAAGGTGAAAAAGAAGTATTTATGTTGAACTCGAAGGAGAATGATTCTTCATTATCGGCTAAACTGCAACGATCTAACGAAGTGGTTATTCTAATCCTCCTGATTTTCATAATATCCCCCGAGTTGATAACAGTAGTGGCAAGTCTTTTGAATCACATCGACAAATGAAGGCTTATGCTCGAAAAGCTTATAACTCGAGTAAAACTGTCGTAACAACAGACCTCCGAGATAAAATTAATGCTCGGAATAATTGTCCGATTACTTTCAATGTGGATGATGCTAGCTATTTTGCTCACCCACACTCTGATCCTCTTGTAATCACGACGCCAATTTGTGGAATACCAGTACATCGGATAATGGTTGATACAGGACCATATTCGAGTATTCTAATGCTCCGCACATTTGAACAAATGGGAATTGATCCAGCCGAGTTAAAACCTTGCAAAGATCAAGTACAAGGTTTAAACGGAACAGTCACACCGACTCTTGGAGAAATAACCATGCCAATTCGGTTTGGGATTCCTGGGCAGGCCTCCAAAGTAATCATGGAGACATTCAAGGTGATGGATCTCAAAAATGAATATAATGCCATCGTGGGAAGAACAGATCTATATAAACTTCGTGCAGCTGTCTCGATATTTCATTACGCTTTGAAATTTCCCACAAACAACGAAGAGGGAACCCATTACGGAGATCAATACGAAGCTCGTGGAATGGTATGGGTTAAGCCCTAGCATGAACCCCCCTGTCCTACACATGTGGCAAAAAAAGTCCAGGAAGAACGAGAAAAATCCCCAACTCTCGAGAACTCGGTACCTGTTACTACCGAGATGGAAATTGAACCATCCAAGGAGTCGCAAATTTCAAAAGACGTATGTTATGACGGCATAACTCAAGATCATGGAAGACGTCGAGGAAAAGAATTGATCCATGAAGAGGATGAACTTGATCCCCGGACTCAATTCAAAGAGAAAAACAAACTCGACCGAGCTGAACCATCAGAAGAAATTGAAACAATTTTCATTGATGATCCTATTTGTGATAAGTCACATCGGATTGGGGCCAATCTTGAAGAACCAAGAACTCAACTTATTCAGTTTCTCAAGACAAATTCAGATGTATTCGCCTGGAAACATGAAGATATGAAAGGAATTGACCCCAATGTGGCTTCACACCGACTTAATTTGGATCCGACAGTTAAACCGGTGGTTCAGAAACGACGCAAACTCGGTCCCGACCGATAAAGGGCTCTTGAAGAAGAAGTCAAGAAACTAATTGACAACAAGTTCATTCAAGAAACTAAATACCCAACTTGGGTATCCAATCAGGTTCTGGTAAAGAAAAGTACTGGAGCATGGCGACTTTGTATTGACTTTTCCGACTTGAATAAGGCCTGTCCAAAGGACAGTTATCCACTACCTCATATTGATTACATGGTGGATGCCACTGCGGGACATGAATTGATGAGCTTTATGGACGCATACTCAGGTTATAACCAAATTTCAATGGATCCCGGGGAAGCAGAACATACATCTTTCTATTCTGCCCGAGGTCTATATTGTTATACAATGATGCCGTTTGGTCTAAAAAACGCAGGGGCCACATATCAAAGGCTGGTTAATAAAATGTTTGCCAAGCTCATCGGGGATACCATGGAAGTCTATGTCGACGACATGTTAGTCAAGTCGGTTCACGCAGCTGATCATGTTAATCATTTGCGGGAAATGTTCAACATCCTTAGGGATTATTCCTTGGTACTGAATCAAAAAAAGTGCACTTTTGGAGTCGGTTCTGGTAAATTC